TTTTTTACACCGACTTAAGCATTCCGTCGCCAACGTTTGTTAATGTCTCTCTGATCTAAGAAATTGAATTTAATACCAGCACCAACATTTTGACAAAAAATGTTTTGTTCTCTAGGGATAATTACAGATTTCTTTGGTTAAACTTTTATATAGTGTCTAGATCTCCAGTTTTTTCCAAAGGGATTTAATTGGCACATATTGTATGTTCATAATTGTCAGGAACGTAGATAGAATCCAAAAGTTCATCATATTCACCTATAAAGAAAAAATATCACATAATATTCATTTTAAAGAAGATGGAGAGATAAGGCGGACGAAGTACCTATGGTGAGACAGATATGGAGTGAAAAATTAAATCTCAATTATTTCCAAATTTTATTTGATATTTCATCTAACATTAAAGTATACTTAACGTAAAAACTCCACAATTTACAAAAAATATCACAAAGAGTGAAATCATTTGCATATGAAAATGCATACACACAATACAAAGAACAAAATCGATCATTTTCTCATACTTTAACAAAATTTTTCAATAATTATGAGTGGGTCTTTGATCTATTTCCTTTGAAAGATAATCCTAAAAGTTTGCAATAAAATATACATTTTTTAGTTTTCAAAAACATGGAGCGAAGACCCACTATACCTTATCCACTTTTATGATAAAACATTAATGGAAATACTTCAAGTCCACGAAGTCAAAGGTTATATCACAAACATGATTTAAGGTAGTCCGATCCTCAGGTATATTAAATTAGCAGTCAAGTAATCAAAAATACTCATTAAAGTATCTCTGAATCTACAAAGTTATGTTAAGTTATCCACAATATTTCTTTAAAGATAGAGATTTCATATTACATAAAAATTGTAAAATCTCTAATATTTTTGCAGCAAAAAGTGAATTGGAATATCAGCAATGCATTTTCTCATTGCAAATTGATCAACAAATATATTTTAGGTTAAAAAATGATAGGTATCCAGGCATTCAGAGAATTGTCGTGATTTTCATACTTATTTGGTATTTTCTGTCTTCTATTTCCGTCATGTATTCTATAATACATAGTGTAAAAGGCTTTTCATTGCAAGACACCACAAATCAGTTCTCATTTAATATCATGCTTATAATCATTGGTATTTAAGGCTGCATCAAAAATTTTATTTTTCTAAAACTGTATTAATTTTAATTTTAATAACTCCTTTAATGGGGTACAAATGTCGATCAACTTTTATAAGACCTTTTCTACTTCCAATGACTGAATCTTATAAAGATGAATAAAATAAAAATTGTTGAATGAAAAAAAATCATTTTCAAGTTTCATTTTGATGCATTTCAAATTAAATATTAATTTTTGGAGTTATCCTTCCTGGGTGAGGATCGGATATCCTTAAATGCCCAATTTCATCATGAGCCCTGTAGCATAGTGGTTTGCGCGTTAGTCTCAAAGCAGTATGATACTTATTTTTATTGCTAGGGGTTTGAATCCCACTAATACCATTTAATATTTTTTATTTCTGAAAAAACGAGATTTTTTTCTCCCAGAAAAGTTTCTTTTATCATAATTTCATAAATTTCAATAATGAGAAGTTAATTTAGATACTGAATTGACATATTGAATATAATTTTTTAATATCTGACGCTATGTGAATTCTGCCCGCCTTGTTCCCGAATCCTTTTATTTTGCACGAAGTTCCCGACTAAAATTTTAATGGACTTCTCTCAAAAATATTTCAGAAAAAGGAATTTTCATGAATTAAGTTGTATGCCTGTGTATAAAAGAATTACTTTAAATTGCTACTTTCGTTGCTTTATAACTTTTAAGAGATAATGAATATTAAATTACAGTGTACTATATATATACAATTTGAGGGTGAAATTTCAACAGTTTTTTTCTTTTGGACTCTAATCTTAAAAAAAATAAAAAACGAAATTCAAAGCCCTTTGAATATTTTAAAATCTATGGTGTTTACATATATAATCTTCTTTAACGTTTATATATGTCAGTCAAAGGATTGCAAAAAGTTATGCCCGTTAATACCAAATATTTGACTTCAATCGATAGCAAACATCATCTGAAATGTGGAAAATGCTTTTGATGTTCTCATGAATTTTTAACCTTTCCGGCATAAATTAAAAGTTTTTTTAATGCACCATTAATGTTTAGGACAGTTGATTAGGTAGTACATGTATACTAAACTGTATGATCTATTGTAAAACTATCGCCAGTATATCTAAATAAATTAATGGAAGAACGTACATTTACCTTTTCTGTAGAGTTTATGCTATGTCAATTTGCGGTAAAGATGTTTCAAATTTTGTTTTTATAGAGAAAAATAAGTTTAATTTTCCATGTACGTCAGTTTAACGGTTTTAATTGGAAAACCCCTGGTCCTAGACATTTCACAGTCTTGTACAATACAAGACTTTTAATGGACAATCATTTTATGCATTAATAATTCATTATGAAATAGATTAAATTTTCATAAAATGCGTAGGCTATTACATAACAAAAATCGTTTTATGAATTGTCAATAATGCCAACTGAAGGTAATTTGTAAAGGTACATAATTATAATAAGAATTGATTATTTTTGCTCATTAAGAATTAATTATAATTCCGTTTGTTATGTAAAGTAATTAAAATATTTTTTTTATTTCTTCAATGGGATATTACTGTTCTCGAAAACCTCTTTGATTAGGAAATTTAAATTCAATTTAAAAATCTGTTTTTAAATTTTGACCGCCTATGTTAACTAAGGTTATAATAAGCATTACTTTCAATCAAATAAAAGTGTCATTTTTTATTTTAATTTTGAACTCTTATCAGGTTTGCTTCAATCTCAACTTACTTATTGCATATCAATAGTCCGTTATATGTTAATGACACAATATATTTATTTGTAGTTTTGACACGTATTCCGGTGTATACTAAACATATGAATTTTTTTATTTAAAATTCAATTCTCCACTTTAAGTACACCTTGAAACTGCTGAAAATAACTAACAGTGATTGGTCTCAATGCTGTCACGTGCAAATATAATATTTCAAAGGCAATTGCAGTGACCTAAATATTAGATAGGACAAAATTATTTTGATCATCATTTTATGGTACGGCTATATTGTCGGCAATATGTTAATTAAATTTGCGTTTTAACATACACAATACATTCAAATCATTTTTCATATATATATATATGTATATATATTTATTATTTTGTTGATATTTACATTTGAATGCAATATATTTAAAATGAAACTTGTTTATGTGTTTGGAAATTTTATAACCATAAACTATTAATTTGAATAAAATATGCTTAATTTTCTTATTCATATATAGTATCCCTAGCAGTTACTCTTTCGATGGTGAATATGGTTTGTTATTGACCTGTAAAATATCAATAATGACCGAGGCGAAGCCTCCGGTAAATAATGTCTCAAATCCTGTGTATATGTAATGTTAAATGTATGAACTTTTTGCGTTTGTATAGGTTAAATTGGGACTATAAAAATATTATATGATAAAAAACACATATGTTAACAATTCCATTTATGGTTTAGGCGTGGAAAGCTTTGTGTTTGGTGCGTCTTACTTATGAACCAAGATTTAAGGTTCTATCCCGGCTAGAGTATTTATTTTTTATTAAGGAAATCAACATTTAAGGTCTAAGGACAAAAGATTCCTCTTTTTTGTTAAAAAAAAGTCCTTATATTTGATTCGTAGATGATATAAATGAGCACTGAAATTTGGCATTTTCTTCTGCATCAAACAGGTTAATATTTATTGTTTAGTGTATGGTATAATAAATTTTACAATTCTGTTATTTTTTGACAAAGTAATCTCTCCTAATATAACATTGTTAATATTAAACCCAACTCTTTTTGAAGTAGTTCTGTATATTGTATATATGTTGGCTAAGACTACTCCACATTGCCAAAAAATAGAATTTCATTATGAATTGTTTCAAATTCATTCTTACAAAAGGCACAACAATCAGTAGTTATAATACACGTATTATTTTTTTTTCAGAAAGTGACTTACAGGAAAAATCCTATGCAATATTCTAAACTGCAGCCACTGAACAGCTGTATCACTTGTTTCTTTAAAAAAAACTTTATAAACATCATGTATTTCAAATTTCGTCTCATGCAGAAGACATTTTAGCTCACCTGAGCCGAAAGCTCAAGTGAACTTTTCTGATCAAAATTTGTCATTTGTCTTTCGGCGTCGTTGTCGTCGTAAACCTTTTACATTTTCATCTTCTGCTCTCAAAAACCACTGGACCAATTTCAACCAAATTAGTAACAAAGTATCCTTAGGTTGGGCCACAATGGGCGATCAAAGTTTAACATAGGAGGTTATAGGGAAATTCTTAAAAAATTTCTTCTCAAGAACTGCTTAGCTATCGTCAAATTTATAGGCAAGCATTCTCGGGTGGTGTAGATTCAGGTTTATTCAAATTATGACCCCCGGGGAAAGGTGGGGCCACAATGGAATATCAATGTTTTACATAGGAATACATAGGAAAAATCTTCTTCTCAAGAACAGCAAAACCATGGTAGGTCTTATTTATACGGAAGCATCCTCAGGTAGTGAAGATTTATATTGTTCAAATCATGACCCCTCGGCGTAGGATGGGACCTCAATGAAATTTCAAACTTGTAGGAAAAAATCAGTAAGTCAAAACATATATGTACCATTAAGCATCCTTAGTTAGCGTACATCTAATTTTGTTCAAATCATACCCCTCCCTTTCAGAAGTAGGTCGGGATCACAAATGTATTTAAGCTTTCCAAAGCTTAACTGATTTTAATTTTTATCCTAGCTACAGTGACATTGCTCATGTGAGCGATGTGTTACCGGGGCCTCTTGTTGGTTTCCTTTTTATTTTTACAAAGGATCACGTCGTTTATATAACATGATTTTCAATTTGCCGCTTTTCAAATTTTAATTTTCGCAGTCACAACTTTCATTTAAACAAGACAAAAAATCAATATAAATCAAATTTATTTTTCAAAAATTCAAACAATCATCTGAATAAATCATTTCAGATTAAGATTTTATTAAATAAATCAGAATAATAATACATTATAATATAAATGTCATAATTAATGAATAAATTATGTTCAACAATATACAATCAAAATCATCTTCTGAAATATTAACCTCTGAAGACCCTTCCAAGCCAGGATCGTCTTTTTCCTCCTTTCCCTTTCTTTGATCCGCCACCAATATTTGCTTTTATTCCGACCCCAGCTTCTACACCAGAACCAACATTTCTGGCATACGCTGTATAATCTATATTGTTCTTTTTTAAATTGATGTTGGCTTTCCAATCTCCGTTTATATTTCCTGTTCCATGCATTGAAAAGTCAGATTCTTTGGGTTGGAATTTAATCCCAACTTCGGGTTTATTATCAATGGTTCCTCCAACAACTTGGAAAGGTGGAATATAAAAAAGTGTCTGTACTGGCATAACCTGGGGGTTCACAATCGTTACCAATGTCGATAGTATCAAAACGAGGTCCAGGTGCAACTATAAAAAAGAATCAATTACTTTTATGTAATATGTACTCTAGAGAGAGAGAGAAAGATAAACAACAGTATTCAAGCTCAATAGTCCATTAAACAATGAAAATTATGAGCAAACATAGCTATCCAAAACATCAGATGTCATGAAGAAGAGAGCATCCCCTTCCAACCTGTCACATCCGTTCTGTGCTTTTTGTCATGAATGGGAAATAAAAGAAAAAAATCGTCGATACATGTAGTTCAGTGCGTGTACAGTGTATAAAGGCCTAACAATTAGTATAAAATGTCGGTCAGTATTTGATTGAATTAAAAATTGTATTTGCTGACAAGGACATTATATTAGCCATAAAAGTTACGTAATGATGACTTAAATGAGACTGCTTATATTCTTTTTTCAGCTCCTTGTTTGTCAAATGTATGTATATCAGTTCTAAAATAAAATTGTAGATGTACGTAATGGCAAGCCTGAAAAATCATATTTGCGGATTCAGCTAACATTTTATCCAGCGGAATGAATAAATTGTGTTGAGATGTTTTTTTACTTTATTTTCATTTTCTACTTTTATTGAAATTTCAATGCTCATGAATTGAATATGACAAAAAAAATTATTTATTATTCAGCTGTAAGGAAATGCTGAAAAATACTAATCTGAAAATAATTTTGACTTTTTTTTTAGAAATCCGAGATCTTAGTTAGGATTTTTTAATTTATTATACACTTGTATTTTAATATTTCTATTAGCAAAATAGGTCGAACCTCAGATGTAAAAGTTTCTTTAGACATAACCAAACCACAACTTCTACAAATATAAAGAGATGCAGAACATTTCAAGGGTTTAAAAACAGATTTTGGGTGTTAATTTCGTGGTTTTCTAAATATGTCAAGAAGTAAATAAACCTTAACTTTTAGGGGGAAATGCCAGGTAAAATTTATAGTCGTTTTTCACTTTGTTCAAGAAGCCTTTTTTCGAATAAAATCTATAATAGACAATGGATAACTCTTTTTAGAAATTACCTTTCCTATGACTTTGTCCATTTTGTCGCCTTTATCCTTTGGAAATGATACACTTTAAGCGGATTAATCTGTTTATATACAGTTATATTGGAATTTTCTGTCTTCGTCAGTGTTTACTTTTTTATTGGAAAACCCCGTATTCTTTTTTGGAAAATTCATTGTGTCGAAGATTGTAAGAGTGCCAGCTGACAATCATTTGATGCATTAATTATTCATATTTCGAGAACAGTCCTGTAATATTTTACAAAATGTGCAAGAACAATTCAATGAAAATGTTTTACGTAATATGTCAAAGACAAAGACCTTTGGTAATTTATCAAAAAAAATTAATGTACATAATTATTGAGAACGATGTGCTATAACTTAGTATCAAATATTTTTTCTGTGATGATGATTATTAAAAGCAAATAAATTTATGTACTTTTAGTATTTTCATTGTTAATTCATATTTTTCAAAAGACAAATGTGCAGAAACAAATCATAATAATACTAATTTTAGAAGTAGGAATTTTTGTATAAGTACATTTCTCATGTCTCACACATGTTTTTTCCTTATTTTTTTTTCCCCAAAATGTATTGAATAATGATTTTTTCCCCAAAAATTAAATTTTCCATTTATAAAAATTCTAAGTCAGAATGGGAATTCCAATTTTTCTATGCATTAAGATTTAATGATATTTTTAAATAACTATTAAAAGTAACATGTATAAACTATATCAAAACTTATTATTATATGCAATAAGCTCATTACGTAAAACGGACACTGAAGGGTATAAAAAGGGGAAAAAAACTTATCGCCTTGAAATTGCGTTTGTAAATATCAATTTTGAAAAACTGTTACTTTGAATGCAATGTCTTATTAATTATTTAGGTCATATATAGCCTACTGCATATTATAACAATATTCACAGGCAAGTAGTAAAGTGATATAGTCGTACTGCTGTGTATAGTTGCATGCAGATACATGAACCAGTTTGTGATAATCCAACCGACTGCAAGGGATACCTGAAGAGGATTCGAAGAAGTATTTAAACATAAACATTAAAAGGTATTGTGATAATAGGAAAGTTCAAGATCCTAATGTAAATGTAGCAAATATATTATTCATATTTTTTATCAGGAAGACTCAGAAAACTTCAATATGATGTCAAATGAAAATTTATTTGACAAATGAATTATATAAATTGTCATGGCTTGCAGTATTTTTCTAAACTACAAAGGTCTGGAGGATATCTATAAGTTTAATTGATTTTAAGTTTTAACTTGACTTTGTCTCTAAAGTATTTCCTAAATGACCATAATTCTGAAGCAGTGTTCTACATCATCAGAACTTTTTTTTCTTCGGTGCAAACTCGACGTGATTTTTTTTAGCAATAATATCCGTGGTGTGTTAGCGATCAAATTTACAACTGAACAACTTTTCATTATCATTGCAACGTATTTACACGTCAATTTACATAAATTATTTTTTTTTATCACTTTCCTAATATTAGATCTATCGTCACGTGTACTTTTACTCAAAATTATCTCTTTGACAATCGTAAAATTAAAAAATAAACACCGATCTAGTGATGATTGTACTTTAAGAAAAAAATAATAAGTACCGAAACTTTAAATGCGCACTTTCACAGTAATGCGCATTGTCATATCAAATTCATCTTTATTATAAGGTCATAAGAAACGAATACCTGCACATATTTACTTACATACGAGAATTTTATCAGACAGAAATCATTGCATCTTTTGACACTTCGGTCGATTGAGAGAAAGGATAAAAGCGAACCAAAGAGAGAAAGATGATCACATAAAGAAGAAAGCACTGCAAATTACAGTAATACTGTGTCTACATCATTACAAAATGCAAAATGTACCGTACAGTATGCTAATTAAATTGACTTGATATAATACTAAACGAGCATCAGCATTATAATAACAGAAATACTACACTGATGATGAAGAAACTGACTGAGTATAATGTGAGAAGTACATATTAAATTGGTGTGTTCACTGATTTTAATGATAGAACTACCGCATGTAATGTTAAACGTACTTCATTCAATGATAACAAGAATAGATATGGGTTACCCCATATCCAAAGATATTCGACTTTTAGATTTAATATGCTTATCAGTGTTTATAATGACGTTAATAAAAAAACTGCAATGTCTAGTTATGGAACTGGTGTAAATTTCGTGAGCATGGTGAGGTCACCCAGTCTCCTAGCTGCAATAATGTAGCCCTCTCCGATTTTTTTTGTTTTTGGGAGAGGGCTACAACTCCTTAGGATCTCTATAATGGCGCAGATGCGGCAGTGGATCACTCCCGCACGGGTTTCGGCTCAAATTATCAGTAAACGGCTATTTTATTATCATCTCTTATCTGGAATCGAAAAATGTAATTGTATGCAAAACCTAAATCGATCCAAAAATATTCACAACGATCCATATATCGGTTATTTTTCGTGTGTGTCAACAGGTTAACTTGAATTTATCCGCCATGTTTATTGACCTTGATGGATTGTAATTTGGGACAGCCAATGAGAATTTAGGAGTGGATCTTCTAGGAATTCCCTTATTTAAAGCATATGTATTGCTGTTTGCGCAAAAATAACACTTGAAATGGTTTTATTTATCGATGTTTTAGTAATATATTATAACACAATCGTTATTATAAACATCGACATATGCTTTATTTGGTTGTTCCAAATTTCAAGCGAAAGTCTCACTACGTCACGCGTGAACTGTCATGGCTGCTGAATATTGCAGCTGGGAAAGACACAGATTTATTTTACATGGTTTTCGAGTTTAACAGGCTATGTTGTTGACAGTGAATGAAAATTCCGTCTTATAAGAAGTAAGTTTAATGTGAAAATTATTTATTTTGCCTCCAATCACCCGTATCAAAAAAAATATATTTGCACCATTACGGAGATGCGATGGAATTGTAGCCCTCTCCAGAAAACATCAGATAAAAAAATCGGAGAGGGCTACATTATTGCAGCTACCAGTCTCCTAACAAACGGTACACATAGGCCTACATGAACCTGTGTCCGCAAGACCAACATTAGCCTTGATCTACACACGTGCGATGGAGCTGTTAAACGCATCCAGCGAGCTCGGAGGAACACGTTTTGTTTTGCCGAGAAGTTACGATGGCAGACAAAACTTTTCTTTTCTTAATTAGATCATATGAATACGAATTCTGATTAATAAAAATTATACAATCCCTGTTGAACTATATATAGTTTGTTCTAACATTTGCATCTGCAACAACTTGTGTTTAAAATGGCCGTGTTAGGAAAATCAAGACCGGATCGGAAAATTCTAAACTGAAAACCTTTTTTTTGTTTTGAAAATTACTGAAATATGCTAATGTATTCGTCGCAGATATTACTTACATTATTCAAGTTCTATATAAAATGGTAAGCCTATGCTGAACTCCAACACGAACCCGAATGTCCGACCCAGTTCTCGTTTTGCCACACATTTTATCCCCTACAGTTTACAAAGTGTACACACGTGAGCAGAATCCAGCCAGGGATTGAAAATTCCGTCATTTAATAATATACACACACAGAATGATTTATTTTTTCTTAAAAGGAAATTGTATGATAATTAACAGACTATAAACATGTACTTAATACAATTGTTGATATAGTATTATCAATTCATCGGTGAAAAAATATGAATCGAAGAATGACCTAAATATTCTCTATTATCAAACATGTAAAAAAAAAAAAAAAAAGGCTGAGGAGGGAGCGAGCGTAGGAATATTGATATTTTTTATTTGCATTTCGGGGGGAAAGTGATTTTCTAATAATATTTTGACGTTATTTTTGATTTCTTTAACGTATGAAATACACAACTTCACTCTTATCATGAACAATAATGTTGTATCTACTTAATCATGATGGAACTATTTTGGTCGGACCAATTTGTGTGAGCTGCCGCTGAAAACAATAATATATCTTGCAGAGATAGTATGCATTGATCGAATATATTAAAAACACCTCATATAATGAGGGATGTACTTATATTTCACATTTGCATTTTTTGTGAAAAGGCCTTACTTTAGGTACAAACATATCTGATCTGCATTCAGAAAGCTTAGTCTTCGCTATGTTGTCATACGGGGGCATCAGTGTTTCACAAACACATTGCGTGAAATATGAACCTGTTGAGCAAAATCACAGAAGTAACTAGAGCAAAGCTCGTTGCAAAGCAACGAGTAGGTCTTCCGTCCTGTTTAACCGGAAGTAGATTTTATTTTTAACATAAATGAGAAATAACGCCCAAAATAGCTTGAATACTCTAAAGCTATGTTAATTAATGCAAAAATAAGCCATTTTTTGCTACTTCCGGTGTGACCGGAAGTGACGACGACGAACGGAAATTAATGTTTAAGCTCCCAGAGACATATGTTACCCAAAAACTTGTCAAAAACGGCAAAAATACACGTTTCCCGACTACTTCCGGTTTGGCAGGAAGTGACAACGCTGGACGTATTTTGACGACTTCATTTGATTAAGCTTGATATTTTCAACAACTTTGCTTCTTTGATGTATAACAAATTCTCAATACTTTTTGAGATATCTGGAAAAAAATTTTGGCCCCTCTAGATCCTTTAATTTAGGGGTCAGCCCTTTTTCCGACATATCATTTGAAAGATCTTCTAATTCTGCACAAATTATGTTCTATATATTTTAACAAAATATTTTTAGTTCAGGAGATAAAAAGCAAAATATGAGCAGTTTTGGGCTCTTTTAAGCGTTCTAATTTTTGACCCCTATATAGCGCCATTTTGAATAGAGAAATCGAAAAACAAAAACCGATGTGCACAACTTCAGTCCTTCTATTATCTAAAATCAGTAGAATTTCTGCTCCAGCTTAAGCTGTCTCAGAGCCTTTATCTGGAAACGAAAGCCTATAAATTTTCGTTTAAAGGTAAATAACTCAAAACCGGAATTGACTTTTTAAAATTTTAGTCAGCATTCTGATAGAGTTTATAAACGTCTGTAACCTCTGAAAATTTGAGCAAAATCCGTTGAGAAATGAGTGAGATATGAGGCCTCAAAGTTGCGGTCTAGGAAGCAGAAGAAAAAAAAGAATAATAATCTTTACCAACAGAAT